GTCAAAGTAGTGGCTGAAAAGGGGGCAAGAAATGTACCAGGTCGCACAAGTGCTATCAGCACACATGTGACGATAGTTGCTTGCGTCAATGCTATGGGAGATAAGATGAGTCCTTTGTTAGTTGTGAAAGGTAAAACAGAAAGATCGATATTTGGTTTCAATACACAAGAGGCTCCACCAATGACCATGTGGGACTACCAGGAAAGTGGGTGGATGGATGATAGAATTGGAGAACGGTGGTTCAAAGACATTTTTTTGAAACAGTGTGGTAACGATCGGCCACAGATTCTCATTCTAGATGGGCACTCATCACACGAATCATTAGCGCTAATACAAGAGGGAATCAAAGAAGATGTTGTTGTATTGTCGCTACCACCACACACTACGCATTACTTACAACCACTAGACAGAACTGTGTTTGGTCCTTTCAACAAGCAATATGACAGAGCGTGCTCCGAATTTCTACAGGAGAACATACTGCACAAAGTGGATAAGTGGACTTTTCCAACTTTGTTCAAAACAGCATGGAATTCAGCACTAACAGCTGAAAATATCAAAAGCGGATTCCGAGCTTGCGGAATTTACCTCTTCAACCCACTTGCAATTTCCGAGTGTGCTTACTTGCCAAGTGAACCTTCACAATATATTGAACAAAATAAGTCGGTCATGAAATCAACTGAAGCTGCATTGCTAAGCTCCTCTGCCTCGGCTTGTCAACTGAAATTGCCGCTATTGAGACAATGGTTCCATCTGGTGAAGCACCGGTTTTAAATGTCAATCAATCTCAAATATTACCACTAATTGATGATGTTCCAGATATTACTGACAATCTACAGCAACCAGAAATAGACGACCCCCAACATTTGTTAGAGCTAATCTTACAGAACAAAATTGAGGTAGTTGCTACTGCAAATGAGGATGGAGTTGCCGCATTATCAGATATGTGGAATGCAGAGGTAACATCTTTGTTTCTACCGATGAGTGCAAACAATGTAAGCAAGCGAGAATAAAACACCCACTGATGCCAAAAAGACAAAGACTGGGTCACACTAATCGCATCGTTTGCTTACAAGTGAGGAGGTTGTACAAGAAAAACTTTTGCTTGCCAAAAAGAAAGAAGAAAGAGAAAACAAAAAAGTTGAAAACAAACTTAAAAAAGCTGAAAGAGAACTGAAGAAAGTTGAACAAGGTTAAAAAAGAGCAATCAATGTAAAATTACTAAATGCAAGAAAGTCAAGTTGAATAATTAATATGCAACTTACATGATCAACAAACATTGGACAAAAAAGTGAATAAATGAATTTTCATCCTATACAGTATTTTGAAAATGAATACTGTTACCGGTATTCAAATGCAATGTTGTTTTATTTTCTTCAAAATAGCGAAACATAGGTCTTATTAGATAGATTTGTTGGCTGGCTGTTTATGATCGTCTTGTTTTTGTTGTTAAATTACTGGTTTCATGGGTGAAGATTTAATTTTGCTGGTTCCTTTAAATGTACAGTGGTGAATAAGATCATCCATGTGAAGATCAAGAATAATCAAAGTAACAATACTTGTACCAGTAGGATTTTGATGATTTCAAATTAACGGCTTACATGTATTTGATTGGACAAGATATTTAGCCTGAATATACTGAAATAAGTCACCCTTGGAGGAGCTTATTTTCAACTATGACATTACATTTTTATTCATTTTTACCGACAGTTAGTTCACTAATATAGGGGGATAAATTTTAAAACCCAAATGGATACTGGATACGGTAAAAAAAATCCATACTTGTCCAGACTAACTGACTACAAAAAAAGACAACTTGCGCTTAAGTTTCAATTAAAAACTATTCCTGTTGGTATACCCTTTTTTCATGATAGTGCTTTGTAAAATCCAACATTATAATTCGAAAGAGACACGGAAGATACCAAAGGATGGTCAAACTATTAAGTCGAAAACAAACTAACAATGCCATTACAAAAAACGAAAAACAACCAAGGACAAGCAACTGTCTTCAGAACAGCATAAAAAAAACAAAAAATGGGGGTGATCTCGATTGCTCCTGAAAGATTAACAAATATCCTGCTCCACATGTGACATCTGTCGAACTGTTCTATAATATACATTGATAAGTTATATTATAGTGATTAGGCATCGCCCATTAGAGGATTCTCAATTGACACTCATCTAACCTTAAGGCAATACCGCAGGGACGGATCCAGCCATTTTAAAGGGGCTTCCAACCATAGATCATATGTCCCCATTCTAAAAAGGGGGTTTGCAATCCACCGGAACCCCCCACCCCCCTGGATCCACCACTGCACCAAATGTTGACGGAACATGTGTGTACCTCTGTATATGTTGACATTTTATTATATTTTTTGTTTTTGAAACCATTTTTTATACGTATTCTCCTATTAAAGTGTGTTAGAGCAATACAAAAAATACAAAAATAGTGATATCAATAAGATCTTTATTATTTTACTTTAACTGCAATCGCTGAGATGTGACATGTGGTACAGTAAGTAACAATCAATGTAAGTTAAAATTCACATTTACCTAAAAAATCAGTCCTATATCAGTGATTATAACAGATGTCCGTATTTATACACCTACTGTCCGCATCAACACTACTCCACATGTTAGCGTTTCTTCGGAATTATATACCAACCAATGAAATTAAACAAACTTGAAATAGCTGGAAATCATCCATTTGCAACCCCTCTTGACTATAGATGCAGTTGTACCATCTACCTGTCCGCATTTATCGTAATGGAAAGCTCGGTTCCGGGAATACAGAAACTGTCCGCAATTAGGCGAATTTCCCCTAAATATATTTCCATGAATAAAAATTAGTGAATTTTTTAAAAGAAATATTTTTTGGTGATTTTATGATTACTTATTAAATGTTAATTATTTATGATAACTGTTAATTGGTATTTACTAAGCTAATTTGGTATTATTGTTATTTGTTTGAAAATCATGATTGTTGTTATAATTGGCTTTGGTGTAGTTACCCTAAATATTTTAGTGTTTTTTGTTTTGTTTTGGAATAGTACATGATTTGAATGATCGTGTGAGCTTAAAGTTTATTATTGGTGATGTTTATCATTGCTTCAAGGTTTTTAACATATGGAAAAAAATGCTCCATGTAAACTGATACAATAGATGTAATACATGTTTTTTGTACAACACCAAATTAACACAATAACATATATATGTTGGTACCTTCAAACTTCTTTACACATGGAAATAAATGTTCTGACTCTGTAGGAACTTTAGAGACCTGCGACTCTCTTCACAAAATATCTTACGATTAAAATTGATCGTAAGTTATACTGAAATGTGTATGACTTACAAGTGTTTTTACAAAAGATTTTTTGTGAAAAGAGCAGCAGTTTTTTTACTCTGAACCATTAAAGATAAATTTTTACGGTTAAAAGGTTTTAAAGGGTCGGTCTTAACCACAAGGTTGAATGGTTAAAGAACATCTCAACCGGGATCGAAAGCACATTTTAGATATTTTCAAAATGGTTTATAGCTTAAAAATTTAATTCAACTTGTTTATGGTTTATAGCTTTAACATGTTTCAGATTGTTTTTAACCATTGATAAGTTTTGAGTATAAAAAAACATGCCTATAGCTGAAATTCAACACCATGAACACCTCTTTGTGGCCCAGTTCTTGTGTTATTCGTTGTTGTCATGGCAATGTCATTGTGACCAGCTGTTTAATAGCATTAAGGTATCTTCCTTCTTTCTTTAACAAGTCTTAGATAAATGAACTTGGTCTTGATCATTATGACAATTCGTCAAAACAATTCACAAAACACTAAAGGAAACCTGTTCATATTTTTTGAATGTCACTTTATGTTTTATGTTAAAACAATAAAAAAAAACTTACATCTATTGTATAGCAATACACTAACTAAAACATGATTAAAAAATCATTCAACACAAAAACTTTAAAAAGAGTGGGAATGTGTAGGGTGCAAATGTGAAATGGGGCGAAAGTGAATGGGAGTGAACAAGATTTTGGGTGAATGAACCTGGATTCGTCGAACATCACATTTTCCGAAGAATAACCACAGTTGAAGTGCTGCAATTTATTCATATAAAGAAAATTTGAAACTCGTCTATGGAGCAAATGTGAATTCGATCTTTAAAAAGAATCATGTTGTTAATAAATGACAGGTTGGGACCAATCACCTGACTGGATTATGATGAAGTATTTTCTTAAAGATGAATCACAGGAGCTTGCATTAAATATCTGTGCACAGTTCTTGAGATAAAAAGTTGAACCCTGATTAAAAAATATTAGCAACCAGAAAAAATTGTTAACCTCCCAAAACTTGAGAATTTAAGAGGTTGTCATGTTCTCCCTTGTCGTTTTTAAGAGTTACTCTTTTCAAAAACATTGTATTAACAAAGCAGTCTAAATCAACATTTGTTTTTATCAATTTTGAATGCTCCATTTTACTGAAATTTCCAAAAAGTTTTGATAGAGGACCATGATTATAATAGAAAAATCAACATGAATAAGCATGATAAGTATGTGTATATAAAAATATTTAGATAATTTCAGAAACATTCTTTTACAAATAGGAAATAATTCATGGGGACTTGAATATATTCATGTATTGATTTAACAAGGGGTTGGTCCATTTTGCCAAATATTTTATCACAAGCGATAATGAAAAATCAAATTGAATATAAACTCAAGCCCCCATAAATTATTTCTGTTCTAATAGGACTATGACGATAATTCTTTTGAATCTAAGCCCTGTAGGTCAAGGCAAGTATTTGCTGTTCCCATAATTGATCTGACAAATAATATTGACATAAAAAACAAATAACAATGCTTAAACGATTTCAGGCTAAGACATGTTAGAACAAAATTAAATTAAAGATTATGAAAATGTATTTATTGTGTGTTATTTTGCACAATCTGACAGTAGTTTAAAACATAGTACACAAGCAAGTGTATAATATAATATATTATTTTTAAAGAGTAAAGATTTGACCTTCAGAGGTCATGGTGATAGTGTAGACCAGCTATGCTGGCACCCTAAGAATCCAGATCAGCTAGTAACAGCCAGTGGAGACAAAACTGTCAGAATCTGGGATGCTAGAACAAATAAGGCTGTTGCCACGGTGAATACAAAAGGTATGACATATATCATCAGAACATGAGAAAAATGACAGCTTTAGATTGGTTCATTACATATACTTAGCTGTAAAAAAAATATATATATTAGATGTATATAGCATAAGAGCAGAAGGATTTATTTAAGTCAATAAATATTATATTTCATGTTCTTAAACAATAAATGTTAATTATAATCAGATCAAGTTTGAACTATATAACGGCTCAAGTATAACCTTAATTATTTAAAACTACCGTATTTGAAGTTTGAATTGAATTACATAGCTAAAATTTGCTTGATCAGATGGTTAACCATTCAATTATGAACATTTTTTTTACAAAGTCCATCGAAATGATGGACATATTCAAGTTTAGATTTAAAATTTTCTCTGAAGTCATTAAAGGACTCCATGAATAATATTGTTTTATACGTATAGATGGTGACTATTCAGTCCATTGGATTTCGATGGATTGTTTTTCTCATTGTACCATGTCTGAACATTGCAGGTGAAAACATTAATATTTGTTGGTCACCAGATGGCACTACAATAGCAGTTGGAAACAAAGAAGATCTGATAACGTTTATAGATGTACGAAGTCACAGATCAAAAGCTGAGGAACAATTTAAATTTGAAATCAACGAAATCTCCTGGAACAATGATGGAGACCTGTTTTTCTTGACAAGTGGTCAAGGTAACATACATATAATGAGGTAAGAGGTCAATGTAGTGTGTATTTATAAACCAGGCTTACATACATATAATGAGGTAAGAGGTCAATGTAGTGTGTATTTATAAACCAGACTTACATACATATAATGAGGTAAGAGGTCAATGTAGTGTGTATTTATAAACCAGGCTTTACAGTTAATCAACTTTACATAGTTATGTTACAACTATGAATAATTTCTTTATAAGAATTGAATATAAGGTTACTTGTTTACCTTAGAACTGGGCTTCTAAGGCTGTGTCGGATAGTGATATATTTTGTCTTTGGAATCTCATAAAGTTTTACATTTTTATCTAACAAGTGGCTTGACTTAAAAACCTCATTTAGCATTAAGTTATTTGCCTTGATCAGTTTCTCAGGTACAATACATGATCTGTCAACTGTATAGTCTGACTTTCTATATGGTTCTAAATCCATGGTAAGGTTTTTGTGATGCATTTAAATCCACCTTGATCTCAATAACTGAACATATTATTCAGCCATTGTCATGATTATCAATCACTAAAAAGGTAAGACATTTCCAAATATCCACTCTTGTTTGAAAATTAGTTATTACAGTATGATAGCAGCTGTTTTGTGGTTTTTAACAAATTTAAAAATTTAGTCATATTTTGGATTAAATATTGCCTCATGACATTCCTTCATAGCTTCCATTCATTAAGATAAACTTATTTGTTATCATTTATAATTCTTACATATAGTATGTCACAGTAACCATGTTAACTCAATATTAGAAAACTGTAAATTCAAAAAAATTTGCATGCACTTATTATTGTGATTGTTTAAAAATGGACAAAAGATGCGAAATAATTAGTTATAACAATTTCAGGAACTGCCGCATACAGATAATGCTATAGATTTTTTTAAATGAAAGCTTTTATTTTAAGGAAACCTATTCGGTTACAATTTTTGCATTATTATTAAACACATTGCAAAAAACTTCTTAATTAACCGAACTTAATTATTTTACTTCAGTTATCCAGAACTAAAGATGCAGCATGTATTACATGGCCACCCAGCAAACTGTATCTGTATAGAATTTGATCCCATGGGTAAATACTTTGCCACAGGGAGTGCTGATGCTTTGTGTAGTCTCTGGGACGTGGGAGAACTTGTTTGTGTTAGAACTTTTGCCAGGTATATATTTATTTCTATATTTTTTAAAACATTTATGAATATTATTATATATTAAATAGAAATTTCTATTTTAACCTATCAAAACTAAACAGTGTAAAAAAAAAAAAATTCTTTATGCAAAGGGACATAACTCATGCCTGAAACCATTATCTGAGAAGAACAATTATTTTTGAATCTGCAGAAAAAGTGTTTAATATCTTTGTATATTGATTAAAATGACATGAAGGAAACAGATTCAACAAATACATCATTTGAAGTCTGGTATTTATACAAATCTTAATGATTTTAGATTTTCAAATGATTAAAATTATCAGCATGCTTCATGCTTTTAAGTTTGAAAAAAAATATGTCCAGTAGAGAAAAATAATACATGTGTACCACATTATAAGATCTATATGTACACTGTTTTATGTACATGAACACATTAATATATAAACTGAAAATATAAATAATTGTAGGTTAGAGTGGCCAGTGAGAACATTGAGTTTTAGCCATGATGGTAAGATGTTAGCCTCAGCCTCAGAGGACCTTGTCATAGATATTTCTGATGTAGAAACAGGTAAGCACAGGTCTCAAAACAACAATTAAAGTATGATTCATTGACACATTTCTACAATTTCTGTTTGGATTTCATTTGAATATTTTTTTGAATTATGATTTGCAATTTTTAACAAAAGCATGATAGACAGGGGAGACAATTTTGCATGTATATTTTTCCCATTACAATAAAAATGGTCAGTTTTTTTCACAAATTTGAAGAGCAATAAATCTAATTACCCTCAACATCCACTCATCCTTTTTCCAGAAATACTCAGCAATTTATTTACTCTAGATTTTTATGTTACAAAATGATTGATTGATTGATTGTTGTTTGCTTAACATCCAGTGGCTGTTACAAAAATGATGTGTATAACCAAACAAAGTTATATAACCAAACAATTTTATTAAAAATTACATAAAGTTGTGCAAGGTCAACAAAAATTATCAACAAAGGAAGATAACTCCAACTTTACTATTTAGTTCACATTGTTATATGAAAGCAATCTTTACCATTTAGGTGTAATACCACCAAATCATAGTACATCACATCCGGTTTCATACGAAAAAGGGTAGAAAAAAATTATTCCCTTGATTTTGACAGTTGTAGGAAATTAACCCTACATTTCATTGCAGAAAAACATATCTGAGTCATAAACACATATCTTGGGTGTTCAAAAGTACCATTCTTTTTATACGCCCGTTTACGGGACATATTATGGTATACCTTTGTCCGTCTGTCCTTCCATCCGTCTGTCCGTCCGTCGTCAACATGTCGGACATTAACTCAAAAACGCTTTTACCAATTTGCATAAAACTTTGGTGCATTTGTTTATATCTATTGACGTGAGCTCCCTTTCATTTTTTATAAATTTTAGATTTTACGTTTCAGAGTTGTGGGGTTTTATTCATTAAAAAAAGGGGAATTTTCCAGTTTTCGGACAATAACTCAAGAATGCTTTCACCATTTTGCAAGAAATTTTGGTTAATTGTTTGTATCTATTGACATGAGCTCCCTTTTGATTTTTATAAATTTTAGATTTTACGTTTCCAAGTTACAGGATTTTATTCATAAAAAAAAGGGTGATTTTCCAGTTTATGGACAATAACTCAAAAATGCTTTCAGCAGTTCTCATGAAACTTTGATGAATTGTTGATATCTATTGATGTAAGCTCCCTTTAGAATTTTATAAATTTTTAGATTTTTCATTTCAGAGTTATGGAGTTTTATTCATTAAAAAAGGGGTAATTTTCCAGTTTTCAGACAATAACTCAAAAATGCTTTCAGCAATTCTTATGAAACTTGTTTATATCTATTGATGTAAGCTCCCTTAAGAATTTAATAAATTTTATTTGTTTATAGTCTGACAACAGATTTACTAAGTATTGCGCAACAGCATAGTGTATTGCACAACAGCAAGAAATCTTTAATTGAATATAAATTCAATTCATATAACCAAAAGTTCTTTGACTACATTTATTTAGAAACCTATAATATGTCAAATATTTAATTACAATCCAAATTCAGACCTGAATTTTAGCTTGAATATTGTGTCCATTTATGCCCCAACTGTTCAGGGTTGGACCTCTGCGGGCGTATCCAGCTGCGCTCAGCGAAGCAGTTTATTTTATTTGCTGTTTCTATAAAATATTTTGGAAACTTCAGGTGACATGGTTACTAAATCTTGTTAACAGGAAAAAAGGGGTTAAAATTTAATTGGTTTACTTCTGGTGATGGTTTTTATCTTATATGCAATGAAATGTTATGTGAAATTTTCACTGTAGTTCTGGACATGATAAAACTTTACTCATGCCAAGTATTTCTTTATTTGAATAAAAGATAAATTCTGTCGCAATTTTTTGAAAAGGGCCAATTCAACAAAGACTAATAGGGGAAAATCAATGTTGGTATTAATCCTTTAGTGCTCAAAAAACACTTTGATTTAATTTATGAATTAAAAAATTGTGAATGCACAACACTATTGTAGGTGAAAAGGTAACAGAGGTCACATGTGAGACACCTACCTTTACTGTAGCATGGCATCCTAAGAGATATTTATTGGCATATGCTTGTGACGACAAGTATGAGAGAGATCAACGAGATCGAGACAGGGATGTGGGAACTGTCAGAGTATTTGGTTTTCCAAGTGACTGAAGAATTTATTTTATGTTATTCTGGGAGTAATTAAGTACTTTGTTAAAGGCAGTTCAGGGAAGAACTGGTCAGGTGATCAAAGATACAGATATCTCATGTATATCTCATGTGCAATGTAAGACCTTGACCAATGTATACAACACATTGGTCTCTGGGGTCTTTTGACATCATTGTTGTAATTTGTTGAATATGGCAGCTTGTTATCAAATGAATAAAATAAAATGTAAAGAAAGATTTTCAGAGATTTTTATTTTATCTTAGTTATTGGATCATAAAACAAGATTTTCTTAAACCTATAACTTACTATGTCATAAACCAACATATAAGACCAATACCACAATATTATTGGTACTTCACATTCATTTGTAATTATGTTAGTTTTATTGATTATTATATATCATATCTTAGTTGCTGCATATGAGTTCAATATATATTTTATATCAATTGTATCACACTCATTCATGTCTGGCAAGGGACAGAGTTATACCCCATCTTCATTGTTTAAAGCACTTATATAAAGAGGTTTTTTTTATATAAAAATTGATTTTTAGTTATCATCAGTTATGCTACTTTTAGCCTTTAGATTTCCTTGTGAGATTAGTCCAATATTGTCCCATGGCTCCAGCAAGTCCTAAAAAAGCAGTTCAATGTCATAGCAATCTTGGACAACTGTGAACTGTACCTTAGACCACAATCATGAGTATGACCTCATGATAGGTACTACCTCATTAGTCTCATTGAAGCATTCTTGTCTTGATTCAATGGGTCATGTGTGCGATTCTTGGGTGGGTAAAACCATGCCTTAGACTTTTAAACTGGTATTTTTTGCTTTTCTGTAATGCACACAGCATAATGTTGTAAGAGCAAAAATTGGTAGGCTGGAGTCAGCATTAAGTGCCTGGTTTAGGTGATATGACTTTCACTTTTCTTTACCTAGTAAGCTAGCAGTGAAAAAATCTTTCTGAACCTGTCTGTTCAGAACAAATGAGGGTTCATATTAACATTACATTTACATGTTCTCATTCTGAATAGAGCTATACGATGACAAGCTGTCCATTAAATATCTATCCATTGTGTTTCAGTACCAAATGCAACAAGTTTTCAGGATTAAGTCACTGTCATTTGAAAAGGCTTACTTCCAGGTCAGCTTTTATTGGTCTGATGGTTTGTTGATAAGGTGTACATACATGTATCTCAGGGTTCTCATGCTTCAGTATTTCACAATTTAGAAAGAAATAATGCCCTTCTATCTTTGACTGGACATAAAAATCATCAAACTGAGACCCAAAAGGGGTAAAGAAAAGGGATACAGATAAAGAAGATCTTAAATGAATGAAATATGTATGCTTCAGTATGTTTAGATAAAGTGGCCACAAAAAGTTGAAAAGGGACTATTTGAGTACCCCTTGGCATCCAGAGTGCACATGGGAACAGTCAGCCAATTCTCAGGAACAGCTTTCATGCTTCATATAAAAATAAGAAGATGTGGTATGATTGCCAATGAGACAACTCTCCACCATAGACCAATTGACATGGAAGTTAACAACTATAGGTCACTGTATGTCCATCATAGCTTTAATTTTAAACTCACCAGGCTTAAAAGGCCACATGAGGTTTTGCCATCATTTGGCCTTTGTCATCCTTTCTGTCTGACAAAAACTTTTTGAAAAACAGGACCAAATGTTACCAAACTTTACCTGAATATTTCTTGGGGAATCTAGTTTAAACTTGTACCAGGGGATTTAATCCAGCATCAAACATGGCCTCGTTTGCTAAAAATCGAACATTGAGGGTAAAATGACATTTTTGGTTTATTTCTCTAAAATTAAAGCAGTAAGATCAAAACACTGACATAGATTAAAATGATCAACAGGTCAGGGTCTATCTCATATGAATTTCTTTTAGGAAAATTGGACAACCCATTTTGGAGTTATTCCCACTGAAATGTCAATGTTTTACAAATTTTTAAGTTTATGCCCCACCTAGGGGCATTAAGGTTTTTGGTCTGTGCATCCGTATGTTCATTCGTTCGTCTGTCTGTCTGTCTGTTCGTCCGTCCATCTGTCCCACTTCAGGATACAGTTTGGTCAAGGTAGTTTTTGATGAAGTTGAAGTCCAATCAACTTGAAACTTAGTACACATATTCCCTATGATATGATCTTTCTAATTTTACTGCAAAATTAGAGTTTTGACCCCAATTTCACAGTCCACTGAACATAGAAAATGAAAGTGCGAGTGGGGCATCCGTGTACTATGGACACATTCTTGTTGGTTATCATCTTGAAAATTGTAACAGAGAGAAATTTGTAGTTATAAAATGACCAGTACAATAAGATAAAAGAATAAGTCCAAATGACAAAAATCGTCAATTGACCCCTTACAGGAGTTATTGCCCTTGAAAGTCGGTGTTTACCCATTTTTACATTCTTGGAGAAACCATAATAGAGAGAAAATGTAACCAGCAAAGATGCTGAAAGCACAATAAGATCTACAAATAAGTCAAATGACTGACATTTTCAACTGACTCCTTTCAGAGTTATTACCCCTGAATGACCACTTTTTATACGACCGCAAAAAAATTTTGTGGTCGTATATTGGTATGACGTTGGCGTCGTCGTCGTCGTCGTCCGGCGTCGTCGGCCGAAGACACATTGGTTTTCGCACTCTAACTTTAGTTTAAGTGAATGGATCTCTATGAAATTTTACCATAAGGTTCAATACCACAAAAGGAAGGTGGGGATTGATTTTGGGGGTTATGGTACCAACAGTTAAGGAATTAGGGGCCAAAAAGGGGCCAAAAATAAGCATTTTTGTAACTTCCAGACATAACTTGTGTGTTAGTGTATGGATCTCTCTGACATTGTACCACAAGGTTCCATATCACAAAGGGAATGCTGGGATTGATTTTGGGGGTAATTGCCTCCAAATTTTAGGAATTACGGGAAAAAAACAAGCATTTTTCTAGTTTCATGACAATAACTTGTGTGTAAGTGTATGGATCTCTCTGACATTGTACCATAAGGTTCCATATCTCAAAGGGAATGCTGGGATTGATTTTGGGGGTAATTGCCTCAAAATTTTAGGAATTAGGGGCCAAAAAGGGGCAAAAACAAGCATTTTTCTAGTTTCCTTACAATAACTTGTGTGTTAGTGTATGGATCTTTATGAAATTGTACTACAAGGTTCCATATCACAAAGGAAAAGCTGGAATTGATTTTGGTGGTAATTGCCCACAACGTTTAGGAATAAGGGGCCATAAAGGGGCCAAAAATAAGCATTTTTCTAGTTTCCAGACAATAACTTGTGTTCAAGTGTATGGATCTCTCTGAAATTGTACTGCAAGTTACCAAACCACAAAGGGAAGGCTGGGATTGATTTTGGGGGTAATTCCCTAGAAATTTGAGGAATTAGGGGCCATAAAGGGGCAAAAAAACAAGCATTTTTCTAGTTTCAGGACAATAACTTGTGTGTAAGTGTATGGATCTTTATGAAATTGTACTTCAAGGTTCCATATCACAAAGGGAAAGCTGGGTTTGAGTTTTGGGGTAATTGCCCTAAATGTTTAGGAATTTGGGGCCAAAAAACAAGCATTTTTCTTGTTTCCAGACAATAACTTGTGTTCAAGTGTATGGATCTCTCTGAAATTGTACAGTTCATACATGTGAACCTCCCGACGGGAGTACAATAATCCCGTGTTCAGGGGTCTCCTCCCGACCTCCTGTTGAAGACAAAAAAATCCCGTGTATGAAATATTTCATGAATGAAAAATTTCAGCCCAACATATCTGGTGTAACTGACATTACTGAAGTTATATTTTACCTGTAAATCAATTAACATGCATAATTATATGGCCTCACTTGTCACCTTGGGTGTCAAACATACTGGTAATAAACGATTTTTACCTCAGGCTAACTGCCGTTGTGTAATAAAACTTTGTTTATTTAAAATGAATGTTGCGTTACTTCCCTTGATTTATCCTGTTTTAAGTTACTTTCCTTTACATAATGTAAATTTTTAAAAGAATATAAATAAAATATAAATTGAACAAATAATCATAAAAGGATGGTAATTAAATGATTTTAAATGTTTAAGGACAAATAAAAAAATAATAATTTGAAAATTATTTGAGGGCTCTATACTTCCTTTCAAGGCTTAAATTGAAATTTATATAATAACTATGACCCATAATTACAGTTTGACCGACCGTGCAAGGGATGTATAGCCAGCCAAGGTCGTTAAAAACTTCCATTTGTTTGTTACAGTTTGAATGTGTTACTTATCATGCATTAAAAATCTACTTGCATTAAAGATAAAAAAAAAATCTACTTGCATAAAGATTAAAATAAAAGATCTAATTGCAGATAGATAAGCAAATGTTCTGATTGCAATGAATAATGGTAAAAAAGATATGACCTAAAAAATTTAAAGAACATACTGAAAAAGAAGAATGTTAGATTGAACAAGTTGAAAGTTTAAAAAGATAGAGAAAATTTATAAGTACAAAGGTACTATAAACATAATACATTCGGATGGAAAGTTGAAGAAAACACACTTTAACAGACAATTTCTACAGCACACGGTTACATTTACGACAGAATTTATGTCGATTAAAAACATCCTGATCGTAGTCCTAATCTCCAAAACTCCTGATCTTAGTTTCACAGTCCATCACATGTATGTGTACTGCAAGGTACCATACCACAAAGGGAAGGCTGGGATTGAGTTTGGGGGTGATGAATCACAAGGGGGTTCAAAAATTTTTTTGGGGGGGATTTTTTTTTCCTTTTCCTTTTTTTCTTTAAAATTTTCCATTTTAAATTGGTTATTTCTGATTTATATATAAAAGCAAATAATAATGATATGGTTTGAATAGATAAATTAAAAATTTTTAAGTTCTTAGACCACATTTATTCTGTGTCAGAAACCTTATAATGCTGTGTCAAATATTTAATTACAATCCAAATTCAGTGCTGTATCAAGCTTGAATGTTGTGTCCATACTTGTCCCAACTGTTCAGGGTTCGACCTCTGCGGTCGTATCAAGCTGCGCCCCAGCGGAGCATTTTATTACACATCTTATGAATTTTTGTAGAAACTATGATAGAGGGCAACATTATGCAGCAAACTAAATCCGCATGGTTGAAATCTTTAGTTTACCCAATAGAGGAGTTATTCCCATTTTTGCGTTTTTTGCAGAAACTACAATAGATAGAGAGGAACAGTATATAACAAAAATGTTCAGTACAATAAGATCAACAAATTAGTCAACATGGCCCAAATTGTCAACCGTTTTTTTAATAGGAGTTATTTCCTCTTTGAGGTTAATTTCACCCGTGTCTATGCATTTGTTCTTACCAACTTTTTCTCTTCATTGACTGACATTACGATTTAAGTCCCAAGAAAGTTCTCAGGTGCAGTGACCTGAATTTATACTGTATAAATATGTATTATGATGTGTCTAGTAGTATAACAGCATGGCACAAAAGGTGTCACTATGATCTATATTCATGCGTCATTGTGTTTAAGTTCAATACTTAAAGTCTTATTAAGTTACAATGACATATTCCATGGTATTAAAGTTGCGGTTAGGAAAGAATAACAGTTCCTCTAAATGAAGTCTTTTTATGCTTCACTGACTTGCATTAAGTTTAAGTGTCCATTTCAGTTTACAAGCATTAAGCGACTTTCAATCTAATTCTTTTTGTGAGGAGAGTTTATCATTCTGCCATCATAATCATTAACTGTGACCTGCCTTTTATGCTGAAGTAACTTTGTTTGATTATATTCTTAAGCTCGAATTATTTTCGATACTAAGTACCCCGGTAGTTGACAAATATATGACTTGGTGCTTGAGTGCATCTAGTGGGTAAGAGCAGCTTCCCTCATTAAAAAAAAACAGGTCCCCTTGATTTTATATCTCTTCAACTTAGAGTAAGAGTTTCATCTGAATTGTTTTCCATGATACTATTAAAGTTACCTAAGGCATATAATTTGGTGTGATGACACAGCTGTTAGAGTTTATCTATACATTTCACATCCTGAATTATTTCTCTGATACTATTCTCCTACACTTAACAAGGTATTTAGAATCATCTATGCAGCTGGTGTCAGCTTACTTAATTATTGCTACATTTTATTGTTTTTCATAATTATATTAGTTTGGAAGGTAAGGCAAACTTTTTCATCATATATTACACGTGTTTTGTTAAGAGAATGGTTAGTATTCTGTAGTCACCTTGCCCGTCCATCTGTTCATCCATCACTAACTTTCTTTACCAATCACTCGAGCTTCTGTATTAAGGAATGAGTTAACTTTGATCTTGAACTTTTAAATGTTGAGTCGTACATTGTAAACGATTTTCAGATTGGCACGTCAAAGCTGAGACTACTATAGTAGTCTCAGGTCAAAGTAAGTTAAACTTTTAACAGAATCGGCATATTGCTAAAAATTATAAACATAAAAATTTACCCGGCTGTTGGTTTTTTTTTTCGTTTAAATTGTTTCAAATTTTATCATGTAGGGGCCTTTTATAACTGACTAAACGGTATGGGACATGTGTCAGTGAAGACCGTAATGTGACCTATAACGTTACTGCTTTAAAAATCCTCGTCATTTCGACTGTGTTCGATCGTTGACTAATTGGCAATCATACCACATCTCCTTATTTTATATAAGCTCTGATAAACTTTTAAACGAATATAAGAAACATATGCAATAACATATATAGCAATGCTAAAGTTTGTTTTGAAGGCTTTTATTCCCAGGTTGTTGGTTATCGGACTTTTTAAAACTGTATTTTAGATATCCTTCTACATATGTTTTTTTCTGCAAACTACGTTTTTTGTTTCTAAAGGATAATTTAATTGATCTTGACAAATTTCGAAAATAATGTCAAGGAAGAGGCAATCACCAAAAGGCATGCACGAGGAAGCTGATGAAAGTGGACTTGCATGCAAAATAGAATCGACTAAGATGAAGTTGAAATGAAAAACCATGCAATAATGACACGATGTAATGAAATAAGATTATTAGGCCCGATTCTAAAATGACGTCCTTATAACGCTTTGTTAACAAAGCCGTGTTCTAATTTGCACAAAATATGTTTGACACATGCGCACAAACTGACTGTTTACATTCTAGTTATTTTCATTTTTATCCTAATAATATATACATATTTTAGTTGCTTACATAAATTTTTTATTAAAGCATCATATATTTAACCTTCTATTCGTTTGTAAACTTATTAAATATGAAAATTAATGTACATCATTCATGGGGAGTAAACGGGAATAGCCAAACATTCCTAAGGTATTTTCGTACGCTTCAACCCGTATAAAAATACCATATTTGTCCTATTAAAATCGAAATAATTCCTTCATGTCATGCTCTATGCTCATTTTAACATGGGTCGGCATTATATTTGACCATATTTTACACCTCGCTAACGCTCAGTGTAAAATATCGACAAATATAATGCCGGCCCATGTTAAAATGAGCATAGAGCATGACATGAAGGAATTATTTCTTAAGTATTTATCTTATTTTGGTGGTAGGGGTCTAGTCTTTTTAGGGACAAATGTTTTTTTTTTTTGTAACTAATAAAACAAACTGTTTTATCCAATAAGGGAGCTACCATTTGATTTTTATGGGGGGGGGGGGGGGGGGGGGGGGGGGGGGGGGGGGGGGGGGGGGGGCTAGGATGAAGTTTGAAAAAAATAGGCAGGACAGGAGTTTTGAGTAAAAAAAAAGGCAGGATGAGATTATTTGCAAAAAAAAAAAGGCAGGATGACAATTTATGAAAAATAAAAGTCAGGATAAACTAAAAAAAAAAAGGCAGGACCGAATAGAGTGAAAAATAAAAAGGCAGGACCGAATAGAGGGAAAAATAAAAAGGCAGGACAACATTTTTCATCCTAGCCCCCCCCCCCCCCCCCCCCCCCCCATAAAAATCAAATGGTAGCTCCCTAACATACTGGTACAACATTTGTTTATCAATAGTCGACGCTTCTAAACTTTTATTACACCCAGGACTTAATCAATGTTTGATGCAATTCAATAATGTTTAATTTTTTTTATCAACTTAGCTTTGAAATTGTCTTTTTTGAATTTGAAAGAATAAAGTGAAAACCCGAAATAATGTTAACGAAATGTTTTTCGGTCAACCACCGGGAACTGCAAACGAATGCATGTCCATCTAACATCTGATCGAAAATATAAATGAAGTCGACATTCAAGCGGCGAATTGAGTTACATTTTGGCGAAAAATCGAACAGTTCGCACTCAGTTGCAGTTAAAAACTTCGATTTTTTAAAATTTTATAAACTGCACGTTTAAACTATAAAACATTAAATTAGAAATCATACTACATGTTCTCTTACCAAAATGTTGCGATTCTGGTGTCATATTTCTACGAACTAAGTATTTACATTGGCATTCCTTGTTATTTCAATTTTTGTTCAAACGTTCAAACACAGGATAATTATGAGTCGCTCAAACGTCCACGGAAGTCTATTAGACACACATAATTAATATCTTTTTTAAAATTAATGTGGACTTTTAATCTTGAATGTTTCTCAAAATGTACTTGTAATATATTTCATTGTTTGACCATGCAGTGAAATGACCTTACGCAATTAAAAAATTTATAACCATTAAAAACAGAGCACCCAATTGTGTAGCAGTTGAAACATTAAATTTTAAGTGTGTAAACTGTTTTTCGAGGCCCAATCTCGCGATCGCCCTCCATTCTTTGTTTATCATTATCCCCGAATTTTTAAAAAGTTACAAAGAGCCCTCGATTGAAACACTTGATAAGAAAACGCGAAGGACATACACCCACAGAATAATATTATGGATTATTGCACCACACAAAACAACAAGTTAAATCAGTTAAAACTCCAGTCCGGTTCATAGTATTGACCGTGAATCCAAACTAGAGAAAAAAAATAAAAAAATAAACAGAAATTAGACTTCTAGCATTTAGCAAATCAGGTGTGGTAGTCCTGTATAATAACAGTAACAACATGTGTACAATAAATGTATTTTACATTTGTAATTTCGGGGCCTTTTATAGCTGACTATGCGGTATGGGTTTTGCTCATTGTTGAAGGCCGTACGGTGATCTATAGTTGTTAACTTCTATGTCATTTGGTCTATAGTGGAGAGTTGTCTCATAGCAATCATACCACATCCACATGAGAAAGGTGAAAGTACAATGCAGAAAAAAAAATAAACACGAATTGCAATTGCAAGCAATAGCGGAAGAAATAAAAATTTCAACGTCAAATTGCTCATCGACATATGCCATTTAACAATGTTGTGTAAAGTTTCATTAAGTTTGGAGGCGGCATTTAAAAAAATAGCTTGCATTGTTTCCATTGTAACGGCAGCCATTTTGAAAATACCAAACTCCGATGCCATATCTCCTCATGACCAGTGACATTTCTATAAGTTTGGTTCACTTTCCTATTTTTCGTATTTGTTCGGTTTCAATGGTATCGACAGCCATTTTAAAAGTTATAATGACTGCACATCTATATATGGCGTTTCTCATTATGATAATGTTTCCTCAACATTGGTGCAGTAGTCTCCCAGAAAAGCCTCGGACAAAATGTGGAGATATAATAATAAAAAAAAAAGGAAAAACAATATGTTACTCAACATTGTTCTTGGTGACATATAAAAACATTAATCTTTAATGCATATTTCTCAAACATTAACAGTCAACAACTTAAAATAGTGTTATCTTAATCGGTCGTATTTTCAAAACCTCACAGGAATGTCGGTTGAAATAAGAGGTATGAACAGGTACAAATAATCACCTTGAAAACGAAATGATACATAATAGTAGGTGGAATAATCCTTGAGGAAAATGGCAGGTTGTCTGACAGATATCAGATGTGCCTTGTTGTCTTATCTGTACACTATAACATTTACATTTACATTGGTAAAGCAAACATGGAAGAAAATACGTCGTCTAGCATGAAACGAAGCGTGTCTTTCAGCAGACGCTTGTCAATGATAGGTGGACCGAATATGAATGGGAAATGGAATCGAATAATGTTCATTGTTATTGTAATAAGTTTAGGGTTCATTTGTGGCAATTTTGTGTATAAACTCGTCCTCGGAAAGCTGAGAGGGGTTGATATAAAACATTTCAAAAGACACAATATTCATGATCCCCGAGAATCAAGACCAGGATTAAGTATTAAAAAAGATCTGAGCATTCAGTTTAGCGATTATCTGCCGAGGAATATTTTCATAACAACAGGAAATTGGTACCGACAGAGGGAGAGTATCAAACTATTTTTACAAACATACCCGGATGCTGCTATGTACCATCTGTATAGCTTTCTGGAGGAGGATTCTCACAAACCATTCTTCGTGGCTTTTGATAAAATTAATATTGTGCAATCCAAAATTCTGTCGGATTCAAATGAAACTATTTCAAAACATATTAGTAGATTTGGAAGTGAAAGCATTCGCAAAAATTTGTCCTCAATTGATTTTGGTGCATGGCTTATAGACACTTTTCATCAGGATGATTATGTCATCGTCAGGATGGAAAGTGAAAACGAGACTGCCATTGCCAGGCGGTTAGGCAAAATAGGTGCACTTGATTGGATAGATAAATACTATACAACCTCAAGTGAAAATGACACTCTTTCTGTTTATCACGAGGTATTTAGAAAAATGAATATTCCACTTTTTATCTGGAACGACGATGAAAACACCTATAGTGATTTTGATGAACTAAACGGTCACAAAGGACCACCAAGACCAACGAACATTATACTGGACTGTGGCTATTACGAAAACTTTTTATTTGTCATGTATGTGCCTCTAGTTTCAAAGCAAGCTATTTATGCTGTTGAAGTTTTAAAAGCGTTCAGTGGACCTAGATTTCTGCAGACGTCTTTATTTCTTTCCAGAAATTTCATTGTTAATCAGCGGGATTTAACCGAATCTCTTGTTCATTCAATAAACATAGGACTATACATGGCAAATAAGACAAATGTTGGAAACACATATGCGTACCACCAAATGAGGAACGAGTTGGTAGAAGTTTCAAAAGTGTTGCAACAATTTGAAACTAATCCTGTTGAAATTCAGTACGTAAACACAATTGGTTTTGAGAAAGAGTCCGAGTCGAAGTTATGTAATGAAAGGGTCGTTGATATTTTCAAAGAGTTTTTAAACATAGATTATTTACTTCCGCAATTTATTCAAGATAACAGTATCAAAGTTGAAAACATTACTAGAAAACATGGACAAATCTTTGCTCTCGATCTCACAGCTGAAAATTCTGAGATGATGATGATTTATATTTTGAAAAAGTATGGAGGAAGAATGGTTGGGATCAATACTTGCTAACATTTTGTAGGAATAATGCAGGTCAAACTTGTTCTAAATCTAAAAAAATGAAATGCAAGAGCTAAGTTTTAGATATCATAGTGATAACTGGTGAGTCGAGAACAAAAGATTCTTTTTCTGAAGAATTGAATGCGGTTTTTTGTAATTTTATTCGGGTGTAAAAGAGTTGACCAAAGCATCGTGATTTTGTATGAAACGCTTAAAAAGCGCACAAGATCAACGCTTTTATAACCCTATACAATTACGAAAGCAGCATTTTGTAACGTTACGGAGAGTATGTGCAGTCAACGGAATAATGTTACCTGTTACGTGATTGTTGTCTGTTAAGGAAGTTACGGAGTCGTGTGAAACATATATGTAATGTCATTATTTATGTAACTATACTGACTACAAATTAAAACAATAATTATGTTTACTTTTAAAATCATCTGTTAAACTGTGCTATTTGAAAAAAAAAGTTTGCAAATATGTATTTTGTGTGTAACAATCACCATTCATCAAGTAATATGCATTGGAAGCTTGTTATACTGATATTTTTAAGATGTTAACACTGATTTGCTGCTTATTGGTAAAACATACGGAAAAATCTTCTACACAAAGAATCTACATCCATTCATTTAAAGAGTGTATTCCTATAGATGATATATTTTTTCAAAATACACAACAAGTGTTTGTTCACGTCCTCGGGAATTCAATGTTAAAATAGTGTAAGAAATAAATAGAAATATTGGGTCGTTATGATTTTGGTTGGCATTATAACATGATATACGACAGATATTCGTATAGAAAAGCTTCATGTCTGTTGTGATGTTATGAACATCATTTAAGAATTATAAGGCTCCAATGGAACTATTAAAATTTATAAGTTGAAGACAATAAAAAAACAATACCACGAACAAAGGCTAAAGACAAACATTGCAAACAACAGTTACTGTGCCTTCTCAAGTTAGGGACGTCTTCAGAAGCTTTCTTTCGTCACATTATAATATGTTTTTACTATTATAGAGAAATTTCGTGTTAGTGATGTTTTTCTCGATTGGACGCATTCGCAACTTGTGTGTAGATACAGTGTAATTTAGGGCTAAGTATATATCATGACACCTGTGTGTTTATTTAAGACAACCATATCATTTCTGAAAGTTTATTTTTATAACTTAGTGCAGGGGTTGACACCATCTTTAAATAGGACTAGTAAAAAAATTAATTCACTAGTCCTTCTGGTTTTGTTGTAGTCCCAAGGCGGTTCAAGTTGCGAAGCGACTTGAGTTCAACGGGGGGATTATTTTTTGTTGGGGGGGGGGGGGGGGGGGGGGGTGGTTTGCCCCCAAGAAAATGTTGAAAAATAAGATGCAAAATCCTGCATTCTGAGAGTTTCTGACACTGATTTTTTTGTCTCAAATTTACATTTTAAATGTTATATTTTCAATAATACCAATGTAGAATGTGTTATTTCCCATTAAAAAAACCCAGGAAGTTCGATACTTGTTTTGACTTTCACTTAGGGCTAAAATAGACAGCAAAGGATTGGGTATGGAACAGATTAATCATTTTATTCATATAATTGAACTGTCACTAACATTGTTGTTTTCATCAGGCTTTTTTTTTTGCAAAAATAAAACACCCATGCAACCACACATCCCATATTGCCTGATTGGACCCGACACCATTTTAGTGTTTCGGCAGTTAAAGCTTGGGATGGTCATCTTAAGATGCATTATTTTAATATAGTCAAATATGAAAATTATTCATGTATTTATTGATATATTTATATTTTAATTCTTCATCAATACAGGGGCGGATTTTGTAACAGTGGCTGAGTGTTACTTGTATAACATCATGTATTGACAAACATGACGTTTCTTGGGACATTGATATGTATCTGTTTATCCCCAGTTGGATAATTCAACATTTATTACAATAGTTGTGTTTAGCTCAGCTGAGATTGCTTTCAGCTCGAATTATATGTTTTTAAAAGTTAACACATGGAGACTTCAGGCAGGTCGTTTAATGTAACTAGATGTGGATTGTTGTTTAAGCACGTGGAGAAGTCGTTATAAATTGTGTTTCCTGTCCTTGGTAATAAACGTGGAAAGTATGGTATAGAAATTTGAGGTATGGTTTCATTTTCCAACATCTCATTCGAAACGTCAACACATGATTTTGCGAGGAATGTATCGGCATTGTTGTTTATATGTCCCTGTAAGTGAGCGTTTTCTGTGTATGTACTAGATGATAACGTTACGGCAACGTCAACTGTCGGTCGGTATTTTGAAACAAATCCAAGAGGAAGTGACGTTATTCCTGTATATAAAGGTAACACAAACACGCATCCTGTCATAAAAAGAAACAAATGGCTTCCGTCTACCAATATAATAGCTGAAGTTCCAATCAATGCAGCAAAAACGGAATAACCCCAGAGATGACGAAATGCAGATACAAAAGGGTTTGACTGTTGAAACTCAACTTCCACTGCTCTTTGAGGTTTCCATTGGGTATTGTTGAAGAGAATCGCTTGAAAAGCGCGAATTATTCTAACACTTCCGGTGACAGCTTCCGGTGTAAACTGCAACACAGAAGCAATAGATTCTATACCAACATATTTGAAATTGTATTTTCTACATGTGGCAAATTTTGGAAAAATAACAACAAGAAACATGATAACTGCTATTGGTGCATTCGGATATGTCAGCGATGTAAAAAGATGAATAACTACAAACAGTAAAAGAACAGGTTTCATGAACATTTGTCTGAGTGCAGAATGAGCTACGAAAGAAGTAACAAAATCTAATTTGGTTGCCGTTCTGAGTTTTGTCTCAATAAATTTAGATTTCTGAAATTTCTTTTGCAGGAATCTCATAGGCTTTCCAAAAATGTTTTCAAAAAAGTATATCGCCAATAATATTTCTCCCTTATTCCATCTCCGCTCTCTGATACTCCATGTAACGTAGTTGTAGGATGGCATTTCTTGTAAATGAACATTCCCAACATAAAGTGGGCGTAAAATTGAAGCCTCAAATGTGTCATGACTAAGAACATCTATAGGTACTCTCTCTATTAAGTTTTCTCTACTTCCAAGAATTTTATCAACATACACTTTATTGCTTATAAGCCCTTTTCCAAAAAACGAGGATTGGTCTAAAATTGCTGCCATTGAATTCGTCAGCGGTTCGTTTATTGCTTGCCGCATTGATTCTAGATGCATAAAGAGTGTATCTGTTTTATTTATACAATCTAAAAATATAGCCGGTTGAATTATTCCGCTTTCAGGATTTGCGGCTGCAATGTCTAACAAATTAAATGCTATTGCTTTACCGACTCTTGTATCGCTGTCCAGCACTAAAGTATAGTTGAACCTCCTACCTTCTATGTTTCTAACGTCCTCAGAATAATGAAACAAGGGTTCTCCTGGCTTTCTTGCTGCAGTGGAATAAAATTGGCTGTCACAATACGTATAAGCCTCTGTTTCACCCTCAGAAAGAAGCATTAAATCCTGATATTGTCCACACTTTCGCAAAACTGTTGATGTTCTGTGAATCACCATGAAGTCATTAACAAAATCAGTACAGATCTGATACAGATAGATTGTTCTGAATTCGTCATTATCAATATGTTGAAAATTATTCCATACAAATTTCAAACGAACGTTGTCAATTTCTTTCGAGTTTCCATAAGAAAATAAAAGACCTTCTTGATAAAGTTGATCAAAAATTAAACTGCGATAATGATCACGCACAATTAGTTCGTATTGTCTAAGTTCGCTGTCTCTCGTAGCGCTCACCAAAACGCTGGCTGTATTAGAACCTATATTTCCCAGATATGCTTCATACATATTCAGCATACATTCATCGACATCTTCTTTACAAGTAGCAAGCAAATTATAGTTTAAAATTAAAGTCAGATGTTGACCGTCGGAACTAGAAACCTTTCTTGTATGACCTCCAAAAATTAAACAAAAAATTGTCTGAATGGGATATTCCAGCACAAAACTTTGTATAACTGACAAAACTAAAACCAATAATGTACCACTAACAATATGTGTCTCTTCCCAGTTCACGTTTAAAACATTCAAAATACACGTAACAACGGCAAGAAAAGTCCATGATCCAAAGTACAGAAGAAGTCTGAACCATCTTTCCATTTACAAACGACTTTCTATCGTTTAACCATTCTTTACATTTTATATAGTTGGTCATAATCCGATGAGTAGTTGAACAACAGTGACGGTCTTATCCTTACGCCATCATTGCATTTTGTCCCAAATTTCGACTTGAATGAAACATTGAGCAACTCTTAATCTTCTAGATATTTTTATGTCATTTTTTTAAACTATACGAGGAAGAATAATACAAGAGCATTCCGGTCGAGAAACGATTCACAGAATTGTGTTAGTTGTGTTTAAAAATAAAGAGCGCGTGTAGGAATAAAGAAACAACTGTTTCATATATAATTAGGAACGTTTCACTAAGATCATAAATCACTCTGTCTTGTTTGGTTTTTACCATCTTGAGTACAACGTCCAGTTTATCCCTTAACATGAAAACCTATAAATGCCATAAAAGCCAATGATTTATTTATTTTTCATTTCCAGTCTCTCATTGATGTAAACAATTATCTAATTAAAGCAAACTTTGTCCTCAACTCGTATCGCATATATCGCCGACATTTAAACAATCATTATTAGTCTTAAAACAAATTTACTTGTTCCGGTTTTGATTTTTTCGAAGAATTAAGTTCTTAAATTTCTTTAAGTATTTAGGAAAAATAAGTAAATCAAACGAAAAGAAAGAGAATCAGTCATTTCTAGTTTTGCTTGGATTAACTTAAAAATCAAAACACGAAAAGATAAGAAGAAAAAGAATCAATACTGTGATTGATCCATAGAAAGGGAATGGCAATTATTCACTAATGTGAAACTTGATCCACAGTTTGAAATAAATGCAGCCATTCAGTTAGGTTAATTCCGAGAAGGAAAATTTACACACTTAGCGACTGTCTCTCAGCAATAATAATAATACTTAGTTTTTCTTTGAAAAGAAAGTTAACTCTCTCATTCAGACAGGGTTTTTCTCATAAAACTTTTACCACACATCGTTCAAAACCAATTAACATATCCTAACAGAATTAGAATTTTAATATAATTATCCTTATTTATTAGTGGGTTCGCTTTGAGGAAAAGATATCTTGGGTTCGATACCCGATCGGGTCAAACTAAAGACTTGAATATTGGTATTTGATGCTTCCCCGATAAGCACGGGACATTTAGGAGTAAGATCAAAGATTGGTTGGCTCAGAGTCAGAATAATGAGTCCTGGTAGGGATACATGTCTTCCTACGGACTGATGCCGTGTGAAATAGCACGTTGAAAATCCGGGTCACTGTGTCGGTCTAGAACAAAGCAGGATTCATATTTATTTA